CATAGACGCACAGTGAGGTAAGCGTAGCTCCACAGGCTTCAAAAACTTGAGGCCATGAGGTCCACACATCACCAGAGGGCTGAGCAGAGTCTCTCCTGTAAATACAAACACAGAATTTGGTTATGAACTTAATTTAGAACGATTCAAAGTAAACACACAAGCAGGTCTCAAAAGCATTTTTTCCTATAGTGCTGGAAGGCCTGTGTTTTTTATATCACTGGGAATATCATAGTGTATCAAAACTCTTAATTTGATTCCTTGTGGGCACATCTATGCTAGAAACCTAAAGACTAATTTATGGGGGGCCTCACTCAGCTGTCTCTGTCAGAAAGATACAGCACATATAATACAGTCTATAGATGACAGCTGACTTAAACTAATGAAGACTTTAGTTTAATAAAATTAAATTAACAACTCATGAAGCACAATCCACAGCTGTTTTTTGTAACGGTATTCTGGTGCTAAATGTAAAACAAATATTCATTTTGTGGACTACCACCAAAGACTGATCAGGATTTCTATACAGTTTATAACCTTTATCTCACTGACCAATAAATAAATGAATACATATTTAAACCTGCAATCAATTATTTTTTGGCCACTTGGAGGCAGCAGAAACTACTTGTGAAATAATTCACGTATCATCACCTTTTAAGCTGATATTGACAGTTGCATTTTAATTTATTTGGAGTCATGTCTCTGGCAAATTGAAGTCCAATATTCACTCTAATTAAGCTGTTTTAGGTCTCTAACTCCTGAGGGAAATATCTGTCTCTTTAGCTGCTAAATGTTTCACCAGTGAGTCTCTAACTGCATCTGTCTGTTGTTTTGTGCTGAACAGGTACAGAGGGGTTTTAGCTTTTTCCCATAACTGGGTGTTTTGGCCAAAAACAACAATATGAGAGCTGTGAGAGTGAACCAAACCATTAAAGTTGAGGGCCAGACAATTAAACAATGAACTGAAACTCCCCATAAAGCTCTGTAGAGTCGAAGGGAGATTCAGGTAATAATTCTCTGTAACTTCACCACTAAGAACGACCCCTTTCACAGTGTCACAGTGTTTTTACATTGTCATTATAGAAATATAGATTACACTTGACGCTTAAGTAAATTATCCTATAATCAGCAGGGGCATCAGCAATTGGTGATCGTTTCTTCAGTGGTCTTCACAGTCAATCGACACAGCCCTACTTTAGATACAGCATATCTCCCTAAAACAGACTATTTGAACTGGCATTTAGATGTGAATAAAGACACCCCCCCGGCTTATCTTTGATAAGTTACCTTTCTCCTTGTCGAGCGGTGGCAGGATGCTGTTGTCTCTGCAGACCTTGAAGTAGATTTCCTGCTCCACACCGTCAGGGATGGCCCCCTGTGGGATAATTATGCTGACACCTGTCTCAATGGAGCTCAGGACGCCACCGTTGGAGTTGAAGATACCTCGAGCTGTTGCAACCACTGTGTGGCCCTCGTCTTCATCCTCATCATCGTCCAGGGCACTGGGGCTGGTAGACAGATACCTTTACTGTCACAGTCTCATATTCAACAGAATAAACTTAGATTTCAACTCTAGTCAGACTGAGTCATTACCTCACAGGGATGGCCTTGGGCACAGCGTTGATGTTGTTGTGCTGGTGTTTGGAGCGGTGGTCCATAGTGCGTGTGAAAGTGTCCAGGCCACTGTCATGATCTGTATTCTGGGGCTGCAGGGGTATCTGAGGCTTCACTGGGCTGGAGCTCCGGCCCTGTTCCAAACACAAGATGGTAACGTGTTATATATGGTACTTTATACCACGGCCACTGAAAATTGTGTATGTGGATTAACTTTCAGTAAATGGACAGCCTAACCAGACACCTATGACATATGTGTTTGATGCAGTTATACATTAATGAGTTAGACAGTGAGGCTTATTTTTGTAACCTCCAACAACAAAGTGTGACAAAATTATAATTACATAAGAGAAAAAAATGAACTATACAGTGAAGAAAGTACGAGACATTACTTATTTGACTCTCTTTAGAGTGCTGCACTAAAGTCACCACTTAAAAATAAATGGCTTACCTTTGGAGCAATCTCAGGCTTTTCATTGGGCAGAAGGTTGTGGTTGAATTTAGGACTGTCAAACATGCGAGAAAAGGGCTTGGCAGAGGTGGTGTAGGGCTTGGGTGTGTAGCGGTTGTAGCTGGATACTGGTGGAGCCCCAGTGCTAGTGACGGTTTTTGGAGGCTGTTCACTAGTGCCATTAACTGGAGACTTCTCGGGGAAACTCTTGTGAGGCAGGAAGTTGGTCTGGACAGTGTCCTCTCGGGCAGGAAGCTTGGCTGTGAAAGAGCCATAAGAGTCAGGCAAAGAGATCTTCACTATGTGTCACTGACTATTTAGTTAAAATGGTAAATTTTACCTTCAGGTGCAGGTTTGGGCAGTGTGGCTGGTGGCAGAGAGGCTGGTGGCAGAGAAGGTGTCACCTGGGGAACTGGTTCATATTTTTTCTCCACTGGACTTGGTTTCTCCACTGACTCTGTCCTGTATCACAAGACCAAAACCATCAATTCCAGATTCACAGTAAAAATAACCAAAGCATAAAGAAAAAAACCCACAAATTACGTCAAGGATAGTTAGAAAAGACACATTAATATTCTATATCTATGAAATCTAAGAGGAAAAACTGGATGGGAGTGAGCATTACCTGGGGTAGTTATGGGGTGCTTGTGCTTGTGCTTGTGGCTGGGGTTTGTTGGGACCAGCCTGGAGCTTGTCAAAGTAAGACAGCTGTTTCCTGTAGTAGTCCTCGTCCTCATCAGGGTCGTAATGGTTGGAGCGCACAATGTCATCAGCTACGTTGGACTGAGGTTTCTGAGGCCCTGGGGCTCTGGGTTGGTGAGATAAAACAGTAAAGCAGGTTAAATTCAAGTGAGAGCACAGCAGAGGAAGAGGAGTTTACAATGACAAATGACCAAAGTGAAGGTGCTTGAACAAATTTGCCAATGATGGTAAAATTAAAATAAACTAATTACACAATTTTATTTATATTATTCTGACAAATCAAGTGAATAAAAAAACAGTAACAGCAGCACAGGCTCACCTAAAGGCCTTCTCTTGATCCAGGTTGCTCAGAGAATTTGCTTTGGGGATTACTCCACCTGCTTTCAAAGGTAAATCAGCTGCCTATAGTAGAAAAAGCAAGGAACCTTATTAGTAGGATAAAAAAAGAATCGCGAATCTTCACTTCTATTGTGGAGCTGAAAAGAAACTGTACAAGTTAAATACATTATTAACTACTGTAACTGAATTAGCTGGCTTATGTAATATAACAGCAATGCTAAACAGTTTACCTTGTTCCCAGAAGATTCCACTGTATCTCTGGCTCTATCCACGGACACAGAGCGTTTGTTCTCAAACATCTTGACCCTTGTTAGGACTGACTGTGGTCGCATGGCGGGGTCATCCTGTTGCTCCTCTCTGGCAGGGGCAGGCATTGGAGCGTCTGCAGGAGAAGGCGAGGGAGCCTCTACTTTTGGAGGTGGTGTGGGGCTGGTTTCAGAGTTCACAGGAACGGGGTCATACTGCTGAGGTTTGTAGCTCTTTTGCTGTGGTGCTGGTCCCTGGTTATAGCCAGGACGCTGGGCAGCGGGCTCTGGGGAGCGGGCAGCTAAGGGGTAGGTGCTCAGGTGAGAATCCTGGTCGTAGTGCAGGTCAGGCCCTGGAGCAGGGGGTGGAGGATCATCGTAACGGACAGGCCCTGGACCCGTCGGTTTACCGTAGCGTGGCCGTCCGTCGAATCCCTGCTGAGGTGGGGGCTCGTCGTAGCGAAGAGGAGGGGTGTATTGGGAGTCGGGGCCGTCACCGTATGGCAAACGGGGATCGTAGCCCTGGGAGTTGGCAGTAGAGAGCGGCTGGCTGTAGGGGTTCCACTGTTGCTGGTCGTAGTGAGGCACACTGTTCTCGTAGGGCAGGTTAGAGTCATAGTTACGGTACTTTGGTTCAGGGTAACCACCTCCGCTGCTGACTCCGCTGCTGCTGACATCATACCGACTGGGTGGGTGGTCGTAATCTCTGTATGGCTGGTCAGGGTGATACCCCTGTTGAGGGTTGTAAGTCACAGGCTTCATGCTATGACCAATTCTCCCTGTGTTGTCTGTGCTGTATGGATCCTTCTGAAACATCTACCAAACAAATACAAAACAAAGACAAAGGTTATGACAACTGCACACGGTCCATTAAAATAAAATGTGATATGAAAGACTAGACATACAGAAATCAGTTAAAGTAAGAAAAGGAGAATATTAAAACAAGTCCGTGAAATTAATTGCAGAAGAGGAAAGAAGAAGGGAAAGACCTGAAATAGAGAAACTGAGAGGGAGGGGTTACTGGTCAGATAATATATTAGATTAAATAGAAATCGCAGCACAGCCAAACACTGATTGCAGCTTAAAACCATCACAATGTACACTGCAAATAAACATTCAAATTAAATTAACAAAAAATAACAAAATTGATTTAAAGAAATGCATAAAAACAATGGGAGGCATTTTTCTTGTCTTAACTGACAAAAATGTAAAAATTGTTCATAGAAATATCAATAATTTTACTTGAATAATTTAATTTAATTTTTATTTTATTATTTTATAATTATGTGTGCACTACAGCACCCACAAGGGAAAACGTCACCCACTGTCTTGGTGCAATTAGAAAGGCAACTTAAACATCCACAATAATATTTAACATTACAAGCACATACCCATTGTACAGAAAACATATTTAAAATCCTGATATTTAACAAGTAACCATTAATTATCCATCCAAATCTGAAGAAAACTTCTGTTTAGTTGGTCCTCGTTATTCGTCCATGGTTATATTTCAAACGCAGGACAAAACAGATAAAATGGTTGGAATATGAATGGCTACTTTTACAGGTAAATAATCCATTCAATCTGCACTGATAAATACAGCACAAACAGATCTACTTCTAGTGGTTAACAGAGAATGAGGCAAACATGTTACAGCCATGCAAAGAGGATAACCAACAGTGAGAGCCGCAGGATTTCCACCGCTCCTCTACATGTAGGCATACCAGCGAAGCCATCACCTCCAAGCCCACTGTTGTTTACCAGCATTTGCTTGCACTCTGGCACGTGCACACGCATACACACTCGCACACGCATAATACACACACACACATCTCTGTCTCTTCTGGGCAGCACTGTGGTCAGCAGACATGCAGGGCGGAAGGAGAGAGAGAGAGAAGCGTGGCAGCAGGAGGTAGGTAGGTAGACAGGCAGCAGCAGCAGCACAGGAGGTCAGCCGGGTCAGACCGAGCTGAGCTGGGCCGGGTCACGGAGAGTCCAGTGACAGTCAGATGGATACCTTTGATTCTGAACTGGCTGGTCCGGACTGTAGAGGTTCTGGTGTGATGCTCTGAGGGGCTAGCTCAGGTGTGGGCCTCCTAAGTGAGCCAGCCTCTGGGATGGGGCTTGGCTGGCTGTGAGGAGCTGCAGGAGCCACGTCAGGGCTCAGACCCCCTACAGTTTTTACAGTAACGTCGACAGCAGGGGGCACTGTTTCAGCCAGGGGCTCAGGCTGCTGGGGGATGCTAGGGACGGCAGCGGCTTCTGCTTTCTGTGAAGTGGTTCAGAAATGTTTAATAACACGCGCTGACACACTACGGTGCAGTACTAACAAGCGCTACTACCGTCACAGCCCCTCTACAACAGTCTGCTCCTCACTTGCGCCTACGACTTACACGGATTCAAAACAGCCAATCCCCCGCCTCCACATTTAACAACAGCTGTAGATCAACCAACGGCATGTGAGAGTTAGGAATTAGCAGCAGGACAAGTTTTAATCGGTAGAGTATACTAATTTGATTTTAATGCTACGGTTACAATACAGTAGTTTCTTTTTCCCCCTTTTACGTTCATTAACACATCAAGAGACGACAAACGTTTAGATTTGGATATGACAACGGCCAATCGGGTTTTGATTAATACATTTCACAGGTACACTGGATTAACACTGGCATTTCCAACATGCACATAATACTTTGTTGTGTCGTAGCGTCACAGTCCCAATCACAGGTAAAACAAAGTTAGGAAGTGCACATAGGTGAGTACTGGTACAGACACAAACATAAGTTCCTTTTCCCAGTGACATTAGCAACAGTCACACCAATAAGACAGCTTATGGTAATACAGAGTACAAGAGTAACAGTAAAACTTCTCATGTTCTCCTTTTCAAAAATAAAAAAACACACGCTCACAAACATCAATCAACAAACACATAAAGGCAAATAGATAAAATAAATAATATATTAAATATAGATATATATATATGTTATGTATAATATTTATATATTGCGATAAATACCTGACCACAAAAGGTTTCACTTTCCCACTGATATTTGTAACAGCAGATAGACAGAATAACTGTAAAAATAAAAAAGTGCCTTCAATAGCGCCTCCAGAAAACCCTTCTAACGCACACCACGTCCTCCAGACAACAGGGAAGACGTGCAGCTCTCAGAAACGCTACCTGCTGCGGCACTGGTGCCTTGAATCCAGCCGGGTCGATGCGGTTCAGGGGGTCCGGCTGCACTGTGTGCTGGTAGCCAGCGTAGCCTGGTGGCTCCTGGATGACAGGCGGGTCCTCACGGACAGGCTCAGAGGAGCGGGTGATGGCAGGCTCCGTGGGTGGACCCACATCATCATTCAGTGTTTCGTCCAGCTCCTGGTCGGTGTAGGCTCCACCCTCTGTGTCCGTGTCCTCATAATCGGAGGTGTGACGGCTGTCGGTGCTGTACATGGAATACTCACTGCCTGGCGCCGACAGATAGGACAGGCGGTCGTCGTGGATGTCCAGGTCATCCTCAGCTGCCCCGTCAGCCTGGGAAACAAAAAGTAAAGTGAGTGAGAAAAGATCAATTACATTCTACATGGGTGTGTGTGTGTGTGGGTGTCTTACCTTGCCCTCTGAAACCCACACCAGCTGGTTCTGCTGCTGCTGGATTATCTCTTTCAGTGCTCCAAACCAACCATCATTCATGTTGTTCAAGTTAATAGTTGCTGGGTGCACAAATAGGGAAAGGCAGAAGAGAATAAAAAAACATCTCTCCAATCAAATGAGTACTGACAGTTATTCAATTAGAAATTAGGTACGGTCATAGCATCATAATTAAAAGTTCCCTTTAGACATGCACTCTAACCCATAAATGCTCTGTCACTTTTACATGATTGGCATCTTGGCTGTAAAGGGTAATTTTCCCACTTTGGGACCCAATTAACATTTTCTATGCTGTTTGGGTGCAAATCACCAGCAGTCACTCTGACACAGGAACATAGTTCCTAAAAAACCTTTGAAGTATTATTTGAATAACGAGCAAACCAATCACAAGGAGGACATACTTTACATGCAAAATCATGGAACTGCTTTCCTTCAATCTTAGAGATAACATAGCAGCTTAGAAGCAGAAAACAATCTCAATTTTTGTGCCTTGTAACTTTCTGCATGGCCTCGTCCCACGTGCCAGATTCCAAATATGCAAGTATTTTTACTTGATTTCGAGAATAACAAATCAAATCTAGTGGATGAAGGCATAGAGGTGCAGCTCACTGTGTAATATTTTTTAGGACAGCAGATTATACGAAGAATTGTGTGTGCTACAAAGACTGAATATGAGCCGAGGAGAATGATCTCTAGGACCTCTCTAATATCTAGATCACCAACAGATGCTCCTAAGGCATGGTCACACCACATCTCTTGACAGGAGGAGTGCATGCTGAGAAAGGGGCCCGAGCGTGCTCTTGGGTGACGGTCAGTGCTGAACAAGCTTTTGTAAGACATCTGACAGAACAGGGCCACGCACAACAAGTGCAGTGTAGCCCTGGTCTCCAATACTGTGGCAATCAATTGTCAACAGCCTTTGAAATGTGTCGTTGCCCCCATCCATCGCTCCCTCCCTCCCAATGGACTCACTGGTGAAGAGGTGGTGGTTGTTCTTCCTTAATTTGAGGGCTCGTTCATAGAGTTTTCTGGCACTCTTCCTAGACTCAGGGCAGAGGCGGGTCCTCATCGTCTTGACGCCCTGCTTGGTGTCTGGGTTAAGAAACACTACAATGGGATACCACTGAGCGTAGTTGAGACGATCCACTGCATTAGGGGTGATGTCCAGCACTGCATGCTTGTCCTTTATACACAGGAAAAAATAAAAACATAAACGTGTTGAAAATGTGTTTATTTTTTTATATAGTGACCATTTGCCTTTTGTTGAAATGTAAACTAATGACTATTAAAAATAAACAAACTATAATGACTTTTCACATATTGTGTGCAGCAGGTCTTGAACACTTGTAAGAGGTCGGCTCATCAGTCTGATTTAGTTTTCTCAAGTGAACCTGCTACAGTAAAATCCACCACTTTACTGAGGTTCAGGCACTTAACAACATTAGAGCGCAGTACACCAGAGGGCAGCAGTGAGCTGTAAATATCATTGTGGCTGGCTGCCATCTTTTCATTATCATAACAAATCTGTCAAAAGATGTTAATATCTGAACCTTTTGCCTGTATATTGAAATGTGCAGATCTAGCTTCTCTTACCCGGTCAATGATCTGTTTAATGGTGTGCAGACGGATGATGCCGGAGCTTTTCTGGTCGGTTCCCGCATCCCTGGGTTCACTCTCTATGGAAGACAAATGGACAGAGATACTGCATCACATAAACACAAGAGACAAACAACAATAAACACAGGCTGTGCCCCAATTAGACATCCTTGTAGCGTGCAGTTGTCGACTCCCATAAATAGAGCTGTTAAATACGGAATAATAATCTCCGTACAGGAGAGGACAAGTGTACGTTTGTGACAACAGCTAGATAGTAAAGACGAAGTGAGGACAGCAGCCAATTCATGCAATAGTCATTAGGTAGGAAAATCAAATTCGGTGTATAAAGAATGTGTGCGTGCAACTGCATGTAACAGTATAAATTATGGTGAGGAAGTGTGTTATATGAAAAACATTGGCATGGAATATGCACATACAAGAGTATGAGGGTCATTTGGGATTAATGAGAATACAGTGTCATTGTAAGCGTCAGGGATTTAAGCAAGGATGTGTAGAGGGGTTTATGATTCACATAAAGATAAGCAATGGTTTCCTGCCTAGGCACACACGGTTCAAAGGACAGTCATCTCACCAGTATGTTTTAAGTATAGTACAACACGTCATAGGGCGAGACTACATTTCTAATATGCTAATAGGATCTAGGATCTAAAGAACAAACTCTGAACTACCCAAAAACATTTTTAAAAAGGAGCAGATAAATAGAGCCATGCAACAAGTCAAGATGTAAGCATATGCAGCAGCGTATACAGACTCAGTACTGTCCCTTTCAATTTAGAAATTTAGGGTCTTTTTTACTTCCATCACTGCATTATGAATAGTTGGACAGACACACACACACAAACAAACAAACACACACACACATAAACGCTTTTGTAGAGTTGTGTCACAGTGGTGGTGTAATTGTAGTCTGAACTGTAAGCCATTAAAGGACCCATTTGGACCAAATTTCATGCTGATACATTCTTTTGAACCTGTCATCCTAATATTTGTTGACAATTTTGCCATAATTCTGTATGGATAATGTGTTTGAATGCACACAGTGTAACCATATTTATTTTAGGATATGAATACATAAATAATCCACTGCAGGATGCACTTTTATGAAAGCCTCCAGTTGGCCAGTTAATGCCATGGTAATTGTTTATAGCATGTGGTATTTTAGGGGCATAGAAATGTTTGAGTTTAAACATTTTCAGTCTATTCTGCATTATTCTATAATTTCCTTACTATTTTGTCGAAAAGGAACTTCACACATCTCAGTTTTCATGGCATATTAACTGCACAGCTCCACATGCTGTCTGTCTAGATGATGCAACCTGCCATTAAGAGGGGAATACCACTAAATTCAACTATAAAATCCTTGCTGTATGTATTAAAGGATAGCATACATTAATCAGTATTCAGTAATTTCTTCAATATGTAACATGCAATATCACAATGACACACAGTTCCTTAATTACTTAAATTTGGGCAAGAAGGTGAAGAGTGGAAAACAAAAATACATTCTCAACAGTAATATTAAATTCAAACCACAGACAATGTTCATCAGTGTTATGTTATCTTGTTTGCCAGAGTCAAGTGTAATTTTAGTTAGTAAGTCAAGTACAGTGCCAGGTGTAGATTCATTCATTCATTCATTGTCAATTGAGAACAAGCTGTGTGTAAGTATGATACTGCATATTCCTTCAGTGCCAAGTCTTCCGTGGATCATTTTACAAGGCCGTGTATCATGCCAATATATACTAAAACATTATTTGCCAATTGTAATGACAAATGTGAATTCCTAAATTAAGTGCTATTCCCCTATACCCGTTGTTTTACCATCTATAGCTAGCCACCAAACAACAGTTTACAGATTATCTGCCATTCACTGAATCAAATAAAACAAATAAAAGTTGATGCACTAAGTGACATACTTTCCCCTCCTTGTTGTTGCTGTGTTTCTGAAAAGAAAATACAGTTACACAAACATCACTGGAGTTACGCAAACAAACATCAAGGAATGGAATCACTTTTTATGTGGGTGTGTACTTGAATATCTGTGTAGTTGCGCTGGCATGTGTGTTTGTGCACTTAAAGTAATTGAAATTCAACACTGAGTGTATGAAAACCACACATTAAAGATGCTTGCAATTTCATGAAGTAAGAGGCAGTGGATGAGGACTGAAATGAAAAGGAGTGTGCAGCTCTGCTTGGAGTGTAAAAGAGTACAGGGAAAAGGGAGGAAAGAAGCTATAAACAAACAGAGGAAAAGACAGATTTGACTAACTAACTGACCTACTGAAATAAATGGGGAATATCTCATAGTGGTGGTATTCTGGAGTTAATCATACTGCAATGTATTAAAAAAGCAAATCATGGGGAAATATTTTTGAAAGAAATTTGTTTAGCATCCAGTGGAAAATGATTACTTGTTGGATTGTAAACTCAAGATCTAAACAGCCAATAGCTGTGGTGTATTTCGGAAGAAAAAGACTAAAGGAAATAACTACAAAAATATAATGTTTCTAACCTTCCCTAGGTTACAAGTACATAGAAATATCAGGGGTTGTTGTATTTATACATCTACAGTCTTTCAGTTTATAATTATTTTATCATCCTCTCAGTCTGATTTGTGATTCTAACAATTTACTGCCAAATTAGCCATTAGGTAGATGTTTTTAATCAAATTCTAAATCAAGTTAAAATGTTTATTCAGGTTGGCAGCCTCAACAAGCTGTTTGTGAAGTACTGATGCTGTGAATATTTGATGGATGCTGAAAAGTTAAAAACAGAGGGACCCTACACAAAGCAGGGACAGCAGAGAAGAGGAAGATGTGTACTTTATTACTTACTTGCTAGCTCAAAAATGTCTGGCTCCTCCCTGGCCAGTTTCTCTCTCCCCACGTCTGCTATCGGCCCAAAGATAACCACAGGCCTCAGGAACCCAGCTATACAAGAACGAGACCGTGTCACAAAGGTTAGCATTATGTAATACTTAAAAGTACAATACTAAATCAGATCATAACATTTGTATTAATAAATAACAAGGTTAAAATCTGTATACTATTTGTAATTTCTTGCGTAAGTATAAAGACACATGGGAGTTTCCAGTTGATCGCTGTTACTGACATTACAATACATGTACTCTTACCTTCCCTGAGCACCACCCTCTCATAGGCAGGGAACTTGGTCTGAACTGGCTGGGCTGACAGGTCTTCCCTGCTCTTCCGCAAATTCCTCTTGGAGCTTCGCAATCCTCGGAATCTCCAGAAGTCGGCTCTGTCGCCCCCTGGTGTTTTGGGGAGGGTGTACTGCACACTGGATAGCTGCTCAGCTCTGGACAAAGAAGAGTGTATGGTCAGCTGTCAGGACTTCAGTCAAAACTACAATTAACAAATACAATTTAGATAGTTCAGGGATTCAATGGACTAATGTTTGGAGAGAAAAGTCATGGTGATACATTGGTACTGTAACTTTAACACCACTGTACAGTACTGAGTTGTGAATGGTTGTCAAACTGATTATGGAGTACTTTCTATTACTGGCCTTACATGGCATAAAAGACATTTATATTTAGGCTAATTGAAATGTTGCCTGCGGGGCTAATACACCCTAATGTATAGCTCAATATTCACATTATTAGGAGCCAAAATATTATGTAACAACAGTTTTTCAGTGAACCAAAGGCTTATCTCTTGTTGGCAAAATAGCAGAGTCAGCATTTTGACTTCCACAATCTCATTATTTTAAGAATCACTTATTTTCCCAAAGCAAAAGGTTACTGTGATATACACACTTGGGTGATGCTGAGATATAAATACAGTACCGTGTGTAACAGAAACTAAGGCTTAAGAATGCAGTGAAATGATAACTTTTATTTATAAAAGCCCTGGCCCTGGCCTTTCACCATTAAAGAATTCCAAGTCATTAATTTATGATAGTCCATCTTTTTTCCTAAAGTTTAAGTAACTGAATCACTGCCGATAAGTCAACAAGGACAAGGTGAGAAAGGCAGTGGGTTTGAATAATAATGGTCCTTTGATGTGTGTTTTTTTTTTAATACTATTGACTTTTCAGTGTGATTTTTTGGTTTTATGTTTTGGAAGACTATCTAGGGAGGCAGGTTTAATACGGGCAGAGAAGCTGAGATATATTTCACAATGGTGACTGTATGTGATAAAGTTGCATGCGGCATGTTGAAAGCTATGTTTTCTCTGTCAACAGGACAGTAAGGAATCTCTGCGTAAACACTGTAGTAGTCAATTTTCCTAACACACAGGTTGTTTTAAATTGCCTGGGTTTATAAAAAGACAATAACACAGAACTAAAGCATTTTCTTAAACAAAATCACAGATAAAAAAAAACACATACATAATAAGCAGTAAAAATCAAGATTAATGTGTAAATAATAAATGGAAACAATCCTTTCTTGCTACTCCCAGATCAACCACAATGCTTTTATTCATTTGCCTACACCCTTGCCCATTCATAAAGTGCCAGCAAGCTGAACAGGTATTGAAGGTGTGACCTAAAACTCCTTTTACCTGTTCTTGTTGGGAATGATGCCCCTTTCTACTTCCTGATGGTTCTTGCCAATACGGATAGCGAGCCAGGAGCCTAATTTGCCGTTGTAGAGGGTGTCTACTACACGGAACACCTCGCCCTTGTTAAAGCTCAGCCCATACGGTGACTCTTTTTCGTATTCAAAATGTGTCCGGATGTAGAAGGAATCACCCACGTCTGATTCCACTATCCTCCGATACACTAAAGAAAAAGCAAAGGAATAACAGAGATGATTACAGCAACCTTTGCAATGTGCTGGTTCTGATGCCTTATGTGTTTACACTACTAACACAATACTTCATACTGCATTCACTGACCATCCTTCTTCTTTTGAGCCAAAATAGTAACTTCTTCTCCTTTTGGGAGATCCAGCAGAAACAGCACAGCCTCCTCCCGGATGATGTTCGCAAAGTCCACATTGTTCACCTACAGATGCAGAACAGAAGACTTAGATATCAACTTACAGTCGAAATTTGCAAAAAAAGGTAATTATAGTATATATAAGTCCTACTCAGTTTTTAAATCCTCATTGTTGAATGCATAACTGTTGAAAACTGCTGAATTAAAGCATACTCTCCTGCCGTTTTTTCAACTTTTAACAACTTTCTTTACCTTCCTTTGTATTTGACAAAAATAAAATAGAACTAAACTCTAGAAGCCATCGCCCACTTGATTTCTCACAGAATTAGAGGGACATAGGAAAAGAAAAACTTGCTCCTCAACAGGAGCAGGGCGGTGTATTCCCCCTACAAGTGATCAGCCTCCTCCTCACCTCCTGCTGCTGTCCCAAACACAATAACTGCTGTTTATTGACTCTGCTTGAGGGGCAACAGGGGAACCAGAAACACATGGACTGAATCACTGAACCTCAGAAAGACACCTTTATCCTTCCTAGAAACAGGAGGGCTTGACGTCTTTATCTCCACTAGCACACCATGACCGAAAGGAAACCATCTAAAGATGGAAAACAATGTCCTGGAAGTCTCAAAGATGTGTTTGTACAGTGGAGAGAACACACACACAGGCACCAAAAAGAGATCTATACTGTGGGAGTGGAAGAAACACCACATAGTATATTGATTGAGAGAAGGAGATAAGCTAATGGACAGCTTTGTTTATCAGATAAATGCAATCCAGGAATGTTGATGCCATGGGTGAAAAACGGTACGGCTAAGTATTCTTTTACACAATACACTACTACACAGCTTAACAGTTGCAGCATCAAACATAGCAGGAGTAATCCTTAGCTGTTGTATAAACATGTCAGAATGGATCCAACACTGACATCAAGAGGGTTTCCATCATCCCATCAACAATGTTACTCTAGTGTTCAGTGAGACAGAAAGTCAACTGTTCCGAGGTCAGAGTGCAAGAACAACCTCTATTGTGTCTTCACATTGGAAACAAGGGGAGTTTTGACACGAGGCAGAGCCCTGAATGACTCATAGACTGACAGATACATTGTACTGTATTCCCAAGATCTATTTACACAGAAATAAAACTATTGTGGCCATGGGATCACATAGTTTCACCACTGATTATCTAAGTTAGTGTGGGCAGCTACTGCTTGTCTATTTGTTATGTTTTTCCCACTTACATACATGTGATACGGGACAAATAGCCACAGTTAATGATTGGCTGTAATGCAAAAACTTGAATCAATAACTGAGAATTATTTTACAAGCTATATAATACTAGGATAAGACACTGCAATTACACAACACTGAAATGATCTACTTTAGCCAGAGTCTATATATCTGCATGTGACTTTGAGCTTAGATGTGTACAAAATCAACATGTTATTGGGAGAAATCTGGTTAAAGATAAACACCCCTGATTACTGTAAAACCTGTGTTTGCATGTAGCAGATTTCTCTGCAACACTTTTTTTTTCCGGCTGAGACTGACACATTTGATAAATTACATTGCAGCAGAGTTGTTCTTTTGGAAGCATTTTGACTAACAATGAAAGAACAGCCCCCCTTCTAGGAGAAGAGAGTTTTTACATCATTTTATAAATAGAAAACCAACTTAGATCAACTTATTTCAGTTTCAGTTTTATGCCAGACTTTGGGTTTAATCATTCTGAATCCAACACGAAGCAACGAGTAATGATACTTTCCCTTATTGAAACATTTGTTCATGTTAACATGTTAACATCTAAAAAAACAGTGACACATACGGTACATGGCCAAAAAAAATCTGGTTTCTGCGGCAAAAATAAAGCTGTGAGTTCTGTTGATCCATTACCAGCATTTCAAAACTACATTTCACACAATTACAGGTACAAGCTGTTTTTACTGCAGAAAGCAAACAATAGACTTGTTGCTTTAGCGATGGAGCATATCATACCCTGAGAATCTGGTCTCCCTCCTCCAGCCCCTCCTTTGCTGCAGGACTATCCTCCAAAACTCCTGCCACAAAAATTCCGACATCATTCCCTCCTGCTAACCGCAGACCGACGCTCTCTCCCTTCTTGAACTTGACCAGCTTCATGCTCGGCCTGCAGAACAAAGGTAGACAGGTAGAATTAAGCAAAAAGGTCAGCAAATTGCGTGGATTTCAAAACAATCATTCAAAGAGATACCAAACACAGCTAGATATTCAAGCAAGCAAAGTGTGACTGTGAAGCTGTGTGAAGTGTGAAGCTGACCAGAATCTGTGCTCTAATCATATAATATATATATAAACAAAATTTCAAGTACATGGCAAAAAGGCAAAGTTTTATGATAAACTCATATATTAAAGTGAATAACACTTGATTTACATGCCTCAAGACTGTAAGGTACTTTGGATGAGAGCATTTACCTGAGGATGCTATCATCATGAGCAGCACTGGGTACAGGGGCATCAGAGGGGCTGACGGGCAGGTCCACGTCAGGCTGACCAGGCTGTGCATAAACTGGCTTTGGTTCTGCCACAAACACAAACATAGTAAGTAGAATAATAAACTTAATCCCAAGGAAACTTGTACACACTCTATGTAGAACAGTATAAGTTTCATTATTTTGTACGGTAAAGCTAGTTAGACAAGTGCTGGTTTATAGTGAAACCAAGAGTAAAAGTGAAAGCAACCTTAATCCATGTCAGATTTGGTGATGGGTATTTGTTTCGCAATATTATACATGTTTTTATACTTGTTGACATGTATAGTTAGTATTTCTAGGTGGAGACTAAGAAGGATGTGTGAAAATGTCATTTGCAGTAGTTTAGTGTGTTCAGTTTTTTACACAGTCTGACTATATGAAACAAAAAAAAGTTTGTCTTTATAATAATTTGATTCAGACACAGCTCTTCCGAGGAAAAGTTGATCAAACTACATCAGTATGCAGTAATTGAAACCTTACTTTACTAATGACAATGAGGTGTTGAAATATGACGCATGTTGAAAGCTGAGAAAAACTTAAGAGAGTGTGGTCTCCTTAGCACTGAGAGCTGATGGACAGAGGTTTCTGTACCAGGCAGTGGTGGTAACTGTTTGTCATCTCTGGAGCTGGCCTGGTCGCTGGCCTGTGACAAAACGCCATCATCAGAACTTTTAACTGGTGTAGAAATGGCCCCTGGTTTGGATATGCGCTCCTCATCTCGACTTCGATGACTGAAAAAAAAAAAAAAAAACAACACACAGCAATTCAGTTGACTGTCAATGCTACAGACGATGACAGTTTACATTAATGCATTCTTAAATGACTGCAACATCTTTGCTGATTTCAGTGTGTGGAAGGATGACTTTGTGTGTTCTGTAAGTGTTGTGTATTGGCATCACCAGAAAGATACAGACACTAAAATGAACCCAAGAGGAAATAGCATGGACAGATGGACAGAAAAATGGATGAGAAGACAATAAGCAATTAAAAGAAGGATGTAAAGTTCTGTAATTTGCCCAGCAAATTTGTATTTCAGTGTTTTTTTTCTTTTCCTTTTTTCAGTTTTGTGGTCTATGCAGTATGTCAAGGGCAAACCAAACTCCCAAACAGAAAGTGATATTAACTTCATTTGGACCAGACAGAGTTTAAAAATGTTTGATCAAAAGATTGATGTAAACTCACATTTTATTGATGATTCAGTAACCTTTCCAATAAAAGCACACAGGCAAAGAAAGAAAAGTCAGAGCAAGTCTCCCAACATAAACTCTTGAGTAAGGATACTTTTCAGTCCAAGTTCCTGTTTAACCTGGATAAAATAAACAAGGGGAAACTGTGTGTGTGTGTTGAGGGAGGTCTCTTAGGCTAAGTCTAACAGAGTAGAAAAGACTCTGCTGCTTAAAACAATGGTTGAATTCCAGTCTGGTCACATGACTGCCGGCTGGCACAGCACTTGAGCTGTATTCAGAAGCTTTTGTAGAGGAATGTGATGTGAAGATGCAGACTGTGCCACCAGCTCAGACTAGGAAACTTCTCCCATGCCCATTCTCTCATTTTGCTCATGCAGTATGAATATATCCATTTATACTCAGGGTTTAACCTGTTTGCTGTGCAGCTGCAGAACGTATTCAGAGTATTTTCCACAGAATGCCCTTTTCTAGGTCCCTAAATTTCACACATGAATCTGATATATGCAGATTCAGCATCGAAGAAACCTGTATGGGAGTTTGTTGTGGAGGGAGAAGGGTTAATGAGAGCTGCAGCCTGAGGATAAATAACAGAACTCTAATGGGAGAGAGAGACAGAGTGTGTGTAATGGATGAATGAGAAATAGAGTGTGAGAGATGGGGGGAAAAAGAGAGACATGAGGAGAGAGAGGAGTGAGAGAGAGTGTTGTGGCCTAAATCTGCTGTTCCTTGCTGGAGAATAGTGCTAAAAAAAGGCTTCATACTGACAAACACCATTTGACAGAAGCCTTTGTTCAATCCCCTCGCTTACACATTCTTACAGTATGGGTACAGGCAAAAGAGTGCAAGTGAGTAAGAGACAGAAAAAGTGAAGGAGAGATTTGTCTGTAGAGACATCAACAAAATATTCAAAAAATGGTACTAAATCTCTACACTGCTTAACAGTCCCGGACTCTGTAATTTCAAATCCACAAGCTTCAGAATATTTACAGAACAAAATTGACTAGATATACCAACACCACTTGGCAAAACAAACAAAATGTCCATGTTATAAACTAACCATCTAACAATTAAACATACCATTAACAAAAACTAAATCATATTTTAAAAACAAAAATGAATTACTCACACAAATGTATCTGTAAGTTGAACCATGACGCTTATTAAGATTTCAATTCCTTGAGAGACAACACAGAGAGCCTTTTACATGTGCACACAATATACTCATGCTCATGATGATCTGTTGTATTCAAAAACATTGAATAGGGTTGTGCCCTAGGCAAAAGAATGCCTCTAAGCCAGACAGCCAATCAGGTTAAGTGAAACCATCTGGCTTGGGGCAAAGCACTGTGGGAAGTATGTCAAATTCCTTTTTCCCATCCTAAACTGGGAGATAATGAAAACTTGCCTTACATCATCATCTAGTGACAGTCCCACTGTTATTTCCTCAGTTACCTCTTAAACCACAACCACATGAGAAGCAGGTGCAACTCCTCTTATGACAATTTGTGTGTTTACCAGATTAATACAAAATGTGCAATGGTATACAAAAATAAAATGATTCAACATTTAGTTTTCTTGCTTCTGGGAGGACATATATTTGGTACACAGAAATAAAAGAGAGATCAGGGAAAGAGCAGCAACAATATTACAGCGATAAATGCTTAAAATAAACACATGATGGCCTGTTATCAGAGGAATGCATTCACTTACATTGGAAGTAATCTGTGTAACAGTGAACCTGCTCTCGTCCTGCATTGAAACAAGTATGGTTACTCCACAGTCTGACACAACGTACTGAAATGGGAGGTTAATCTAGTCATATGACATGACTGACAAGCAACTAGTAAGCCAGAAAGCTAAACTAACTAGCAGCAGCATACGGAGCTAACACACAGCTACAACAGCTGTTTTAGGTGTGTAATATTTGCCAAACAAGCAATGTAAGTAACATCTCAATAAGACCACTTTTTAAGCTGTATATGAGTTTTGTATACCTGTTCCAGTGAGAAATTTTGAGTTTATAAACAGCAAGTTTGGGCACCCATATCTCACAGAATCAGACCTTCATCTCATCAAAATCACAGAAGTCTTGAGAAAAGTGCCTCTATTTGATTATCAATGAGTTTGAAATGACACGTTTCTAAAATAGCACCTCTGGAGTCTGACAGCCCACATCGTCTGCACCCCAGGGCCCATATAAACATGACAAAATGGAGGTCTGGTTATACAAGACTCTGACAGTTCAATCCAGAACAAGTGCTTGAAGGCAGCATGGATACTTCACAGTATCAAACAGAACCATTCACTGTGATCAGAAGCCAGCAACATACCCTCCGTCTTTTCTCACTGCAGCCAATGACAGAACATTCACGTCTGCAAGAGCTCTTCATCTTGTCCCATTCAACTAGACTCAGTACTTACTTGTTCTGGCCCGGTAGGCTTACAGTGCTCAAGCATCACACTGACGCTTCACTTGCTCGTGTTTCCTCTAGCTCTCATTTGCCATCTATGTATTTGTCAACTACAAGAAGCTTTGCACACTCTAAACTAACAGAAAGATAACTTACTGGAAGCTCCAACTGGGAGTAAGAAAAGAGAACAAAGAGAGGATAAAGAGACAGTATGAACGTTAGAATGAATTGAAAGATAATGTGTACAGAGTATATCCAAATGATAGCTAGATTACATTAATCGAATATGCAATATAAAATATAGATCTTATTTCGAGCACTAATGTTTAAGCCAATTACATTAATAATTAGAGTAATGGAAACACATAGTACATAGTAATTAAACTTAGCTTTGCAAGTGAGTGATTTTAGAAACTCAGACAACCTTATACCGTTTGAAGGTTATTCTCTGTACAGAAAATAGTTAAAAGATCTAGTATACTTTCAAAACAAGACCATACACAATTCCCTACCAGGAGGAGATTAATCAATCCCTTCCAGAGCACGGCTTTATTGGAACTCCAGTGACGGCTCCAGAGGGAGTGTGATGGTTTATGCATGCAATGTCTTTATCTATTGACTTATGCATTATTGGTGCAAGGTACTTACTCAGCACCCAGTAACCCGTGGGTGTGAAAATGATGTATGGAGTGGGGTGGTGGTGGGAGTATGGATGTATGATAGCTGTGTCCCATCACCAGATTTGCAGTCACAACAGTATGCATGTGTCCTTTGCTTACCTGCCATTGCTGATCTGCCTAGGTGAGTGATGGAGATGGTCCGATGGTTCGGACCTGTCAGGGGAACGTGATCGACTACCTCGCCCGTGGGATCGATTGGAATGTTCTGATGTCAGTGAATGTATTTCTGAAATGTCTGCAAAATTTAAATTAAACATTTATTCGAGTTTAATCAATAAATCAAGATTGAGTTAAAATGCCAAGAAAGAATTCATGATTGGAATTATTCCTCCTTACTGTTTAAAAACATTATAAATTTGTCTTTCGTCAGTCCCAGCTTGTGCAATCAAATGCTAGCTACATCCAACAAGGAAATGCTACATGTCTGTTGTCTCACCATCTCTATCGGAGTTATTGGCTGATGGGATGCTGTCATCAAGGTCAGGAATGTTGAGCAGCGTGGCTCGCTCATCTCTTTGCACCACCATCTTCAACTTGCCCTTTGATCTCTCAATCAGCTTCTTGGCATCTATCAGTGATAGATTCTCTGTAACCGTGCCATTGATCTGCCAAAGGAAGAGGAGTGGGTCAGCACAAGAACTGAATGGACAATGCTTTTCAAAACTATGGGACCAACACAAGGCAAAGATTGTGATTGTAACGGTGAATGGCCTAATTCTCCCTCACATTAACAATAACAAATTTAAATATCACAAAATTAGGCTTACAATGTTTTTACATTGTTAAGGACAAAGAGAGTCCAAAGTTGTATTGAATTGAATATAGTTTAAAGCAAAATGATTTCACACACATTTCAACTAGAACATGCCTCTGCCTCTCTTCAGAATAACCGATACGCTAAATTGGATTTTGAATGCATCTCTTTACTGTGCAGGAGGATTTTTCCCTCCTCAGAGATTGAGTGGATAACAATTCAAAGGAATAATGGAATGTGTGGTATTCCTGCTGGTGAGTCTGCATACTAATGAACTGTGACCTCACTCTGTGAGCCACTTTCAGCAGCTCACAGATTACAACAGCAGACTAGTGCAGGTTTTCAGTAAAAAGAATACCTGATACTCATTCCTCTTTCACTTCACCTCACTCCTTCTGTTAATGAAATTATTTAAAGCTATTTCTTTACACATTCATCTTTCACATATATTCATATTATCTATTTATCAGTTCATTTCCCCATTACTGTGTTTTACCCACTTCAAAACCACTGTCTTACTCACAGACTCGTTCATGCAAACAGTGCTCTTGTTTCACTCACCTTAAGTACAACATCTCCCTCCTGTATGTTTCCGTCTCTGGCAGCAAGGCTCTCAGGGGAGATGTCCTTCACAAAGATGTGGCTGGCTAACCGCAGTCCATATTCTGCTTTCAGAGTAGAACAAAGCAATATTAACAGGGCACATCAACTTAACCATCTCTTTGTTCTCAGCAAATAAGATTAATCCACATTTAAGTTCTGACTGAACTGTACTGTGAGCAGCAAATGTGTCGTCTTATATGTACATACATTATTTTATTATAACATGTTTTTTTAATTTTATGTAAATTGTATGTATACACAATATACACAGTCAGCCTTTCCTGGACATTGTTTTGCCCACCTTCATTTTTGCGGGACTTGACAAGGGTGACCTTGGAAGGCCTGGGTGGAGCAGAGGAGGCTTGTGATCGGCGATCAGAGCGTGGTGAGACACTCCGCTCCCGCGAGGCACTATGGTCCCGCCTGCTGCTGCTGCTACGCTCGCGATCTTGACGCCTGCCAGTGCCAGTACCCCCGCTTGCTCCTTCATAGGCACTTTGGACACCACGACCACGCTCATAGCCATCTTCTTCATCACTGTCCTCTTCTTCGTGCTCTGACATCGTCTCTCTGTCCCCTGGCCGAGAGACAGGGATCTGCACTTTCCTTTTCCGACGTATAGTCTTGGAATAGACAGGAAGTTTTGAGTGTTAAGGCAATTATGATCTCCCTCACGTCTGAGATAAATATGACAGGATTATTAATGTTGCACAAAGCGTTCCGTCAAACCACAATTCAAAGTAAGTGGACCTCAATTCTGAAATCCATCATCAGTGGTCGCTATGATTCACACAATTTCACACAAATTTAAGTTTGGTAAATATCCTAAGTGTCAAACTCACTATCTTTGCATTTTTGCCACTCTTTCGGAGCTGCTGCACAGCGTACGCATGTTCTACGTTGTCCATAGAGACTGCATTGACCATCACCACTCGATCATTTTCTCTGAAACATTAGAAAAAATATATCAATTAACATCAATAGTTATCAATAGAGATCTATGCAAATCTGTAACATTCATTCCAAGATGGTAGACATTTATATAGAATAAAATGGAACAGGAAAATATATAATTAAGAGCTTACTTTAACTAATTCTGAGGTCAAACTAACAGTGCTCCTACAACTCTTTTACATGTATATATTAACATAAAGCAAAAAATACTGAATTATTATAAAACACAAAATATTGATGGAAATAGTCCAGACTTACTGCAGCAGTCCCTCCGCAGGACCTCCTTTCAGCACATCAGATATCACAATGGACGTCTCCCCACTCTGGAAATGAGGGTTGTCTCTTCCACCTGAGATGGCAATACCAAACCCAAAACCTGGGGCCTGCACACACATGAATACACACATTACTGACTGCCATACATTAGACTTGTCTGATGCTGATGCTGTCTGAGCTGTGCTGTAAACAAAAAGGCTAATGGGCTCTCTGTAGGCTAATTATCAGTGAAACTGTTATTCAAGTAGTGTGTTCTGTGCAGTGAAAGAAGGCTTTAACAGACTGGGGCCTTCACTGTGGACAAGAACAAAGCTATGCACGTGTAAGCTGTTCTGCTTATTTTCTAAAGAGGTTTCCATGGAGGTTTTGATGACTGCTGTGTTTTATGCAGCTAGCACCAAGGTAACAAGCCATGTGATGGAAATGGCTAATCATACAACCACAACAACACAGAAGAGACGCAGGGCTGAGAACCGCAGGCCACACTGGGCGCTCCTTCAGCCTCAATAAAGCCGCTACTAATTAGATTACAGCAAGCAGGCCAGTCTAGACAGGTGCTCTACACAATCCCACGGCACAACAGCATCAACTGACTGGAGTTTACTGTCTCAAAGCAAAGTACATTTAGATATTTAGCATACAAGACAACGAGTGTATTAATTAATCAGCTATCTCTGGGGGCTTATGGCTTGAAATAGTTTGATAGTCAACCTGGAGGAAGGTTGACATGGAGGAAAACTACCATCCCCCCTTTCCCTGGAGTTGCGTTAAGGAGAAGAGTATGCTGCCAACAGGAAGGAAGTGAAATGAAGTAGTAAGGAAGTGGATGCTGATTTCTGTCTTCCTTAGCCTTGTTTCCTGCCATCTGGGTTCCTTGACTATTGTTTCAGTACCACACATCCTGCTGCTACAGCTGGCCCTCTCAGTACAGAGAGAGAAAAGAGGTGTATGGGCAGAGGACAGAGAGAATAGGGAGGAAAAAGTGAAGACATAGTGCAGGATTAGGATACCAGAGACAGGCAGAGAGGGAAAAAGACAAAAGAGAAGAAAGGGGAGAGTGGATTAAAGAGTTGTAAACACTTACCCTGTGAAGCGTCACTGTGTGCTGTTCCCATATGACCGTTTCCTCCATCGCTGCACTCTACAACACAAGACACAAGAAGGAAAGGATCAGTATCTTGAGGGCAATTGATTGAAGTACACGTGTATCCAAATGCTATGTATTACAATAATGCTGCAACGAATACTGGATTTATGAAGCTTACGAGGTTCCATTCTTGTGGACTATGAGACTCCATATGACTCTAACTCTATGGTCATTTTAATGCAATATAGTGAGTGGTCTAATGATTTGACTTTTCTATTCATGAAGTTACCTCAACATCTCTCTGAAAGTGTAAAGAAAAAATGAACATTGTAAGCGCATGTCAAAATACATCAGCATATAACTGTATGCAAAATGGCTTCACTGCTCGCTAAGGATGCCTTTCAACAGGTTTGAACATGATGGAACCAATTACAATGGAAGACAATAATTATTATTTATAATATTGTTTTCTTATATGTGTATGTTTCATTTTATTTTATAGTTTGTATTGTTTTATTTATAGTACAGACATGTAGCACATTCGACCAGCGTAAAGACTTAGACTAATAACACACACAAAAGGTTATTGACTCAGCAAACAACACATAGTTTATTTGTAGCTTCAGATTAAGAGTGACAATCTAAAAACTACATGTACACTTAGTGTTTCCATATCCTGTTCAGTTTCAGTAAACAGAGTTGTTGTTTGGCTACCAGCAAGGTAGACTCTATTGCTTATTTGCACAACTAAGTCCTGGAGTCATAAAAGTCTACATGTGAAAAGATTATGAATGACAGCAGCATGAGTAAACAGCCGGCAGACTGACTGAGGTTCAGGAGACTGACTGAACACTCCTATTTTATTCCTGGCTAGGTGATCTGAGAGAGCTAAAGCAAAGAAGGTATTTTAGCTGCTGCTATGACCTGCCACACTGGATTAAACAGATACTAGGCAGGCATCCTTTACTTTCACTCATTCTCTAATTCAGTTACATCACACAGGTTTCTCTTTATGTCAGAGTCATCCTTTAGTATAAGCTTTCTTCTTCTTTTTTTAATGTGTCTGCAAGTCTGTCAGTGTTTTACATTGACTCTGGTTACTCCACGAGGCACAGAAAAATGTTACTACTATTAGGTCAAAGACACTCATACATTTGTGTCTCAAAGGACTGTTTGTTGTAAACTCCTAGAGTGCTATGTCCCGAGCTTTAAATTACAGCTTTACGCTGCTTCCCTCCAGCTGATGAAGCAACACTGCTGTCCTGTCTGTCTGTCTGTCTGTCTGCCTGCGGGGAGTGATGGTACAGCTGTCTGTGGCAGAGTGCTGAGCACAGTCCAATGTGGCATGGGAAGGAAAAGACATAAACACCAGCACACGTGGAAGGGTGCTCATTTACTACAACTTCTATAATCAGCTTTTTAAAATAACACACCATGTCATCTGTCCACCCTATCATCGTGATAATCTCACTCCCTCACCCCTTAATCATCACCTAATCCCCAAACCACCTCACCCATCATCTTTGACATCATCATGATCATTACTGTCATCACCTTCCCTTAACTTAACTAAACAGTTCACACTGCCATGCTGCCAGAGGACACAGACCAAGAGCCAGCTGATGAGAGTGTCTGGTGTTTGTTGACATGCCCTGACACATAATACTGTAGATTTGTTGTGAAAAAGACCGAACACAAAGAAGAGCACGCCGATCTCCTAGATACTTCAATGAATCTAAACAGAATATGTGTCAATTGATTTTTTCAACTTAACATAAGACATTCTAAGATACAGAAAACACAACAACTCTTATTTTCAGGTGAATAATACACTAATGAAAACATACCTATAAATATTATATTCCATTTCTGTCAATAGATCTTTCTAAATCTGACACACTGGACCTTTAATACTTAAATACTGCTGCTTCAGAGCAAGGTGTGTGACACTCAATCCTCTGTGGCTGTGTTTTCACACAGGCCTTCCAGAAAAACAACACAGGTCCTCTGGCGAAGAGCGTATTTGCACATGGATTACTTAACGTTAACTGTAACGTGGGTTGGGTCGGTTTCTGGTTTTGTCGGTCCATACGAATTAAATCGCATTGATTTTGCGCACACCAACAGAACCAGCATTCGTCATCATGAGCCATTCTGGCAAATTAAAAACAGACAATGCTACGATACTCTCCGCTCTGTCTGCGGTACACGTAGCAGCGGCAGAATGCGCGTCGCAGTTGAGCTGACGAAGCGGGGAAGCAAGTTCTGTTTTCCTTGTTCAAGTTACTGCATTATGCTGTTAATACAAACACTTCCAGTATCTGTTAAAAATTCAAGGTCCTCTGGTGTTTCAGTGGACACAAACAGTCATTTCCTTTAAGGCTGGTAAAGTGGGAAAACTTGGCACTCACATTCATGGCTCTCATTATGTTACACTCAGGAGCAGCTGAGTCACATGCAACACCTAGAGATAAACGTTTGTATGATCAGCCCAAACCTAACGTGAATAGCATCCTCCTGTTGACATGTCATTGTCCTTGTTAAAATTAAAATACTTGCCGCCATGACTTTTCACAGTTGTAAAATCCTGCCAGAGAGAATTACAAACTGCTGTGCAGTGTTTTGGCACATGCTAATAATAAATGCATCAATCTGTTACTCCAACTGGACTTCCT